GCAGCTCGGGAGAGTGCCGTGTGCTGTTGGTGCAGCCCACGGCAACGCCCCACTCCCCAGCCTGGCGCAGACCCGAGAGTGACACCTGCGGGCATGCAGTGCTGGCTGCGGCCACAGTAGCGGGCATGGCGCTACGTGGGCTCTGTCCATCCCGTCCCTGGGGCCGGTGCAGGCTGGAGAGACCTGCCTGGGAGCTGGCGGCGCTTGTTAAGACAGGAAAGCAAAGATCCTTGGTGAAGTCACCACTGTGACCGTTCTGGACCCGTGGCGTGGCGCTCTTGGGTCTGGGCCTGAGGAAGCCCAGCCCGCTTAGCCCGTGCTCTCTGCCTTGTGGGGGCAATGTCCTGTGAGGCTGGCCTGGATGGGCAGAGCCGCCCTGCTCCCTGAGCCCGGGCTTCTGTTCCTCCTGGGTCCCCATGCACCAGCGCTGACTGACAGAATCAGAAGCTGCAGCCCAGCTAGTCATGGTCTGGACCAGCCGCTCCAGGCCTCTGCGCTTGTTTTCTAACTGCGCGTGGTGGTTTCTTGCGGCTCTCTGTGCTGTCCTGTGTGTTGGAGAGATCGCATAACGTGAAAGGAAGGCACAAACGGAAACCAGCGGGATGGAGGAGATGAGTCCACAGAGGAGCCCGCTGGAGGCCACTTGTGACCGCCAGCTCCCTGCCCGAAGCCCCACCCTCACCTGAGCCCCTGCCCTTGCCTGAAGCCCCCAGCTGGAGCCCGCCCTCACCCGAGGCCCCGCGCTCACCCGAACCCTGAGTTGTAGCCCTGCCCCCTCACCTGAGGCTCCGCCCTCACCTGAATCCCCAGCTGGAGTCCTGCCTCCTCACCTGAAGCCCCGCCCTCGCGGAAGCTCCCCGGCTGGAGCCCACCCTCATCTGAGGCCCCACCCTCAACTAAGCCCCCAGCTGGAGCTCCACCATCACTGGAGTCCCGCCCCCACCCGGAGCCCCGCCCCCTCGCAAAGCCCCACCCCTCACCGGGAGCCCCAGGGTGGGCAGCCTCGCTGGGATTTCCAGACTAAGCCAGAGGCGAGGGCGCCCGCTCCCTGAACCTGGGAGGGAACGGCAGACCGCTGCCCAGCAGGGCCTGGGCCTAGGGAGACATCCCGACAGATGCCGCCTCCGCCCCACAGGACATCTTGCCGTGCGTGCCCTTCAGCGTGGCCAAGAGCTTGAAGTCCTTGTACTTGGGCCGCATGTTCAGCGGGACCCCCGTGATCCGGCTGCGCTTCAAGAGGCTGCAGCCCACCAGGTGAGGGGCGGCTGGCCCAGGACAGCCTGGCCAAGGGGGCTGTCGGCCGGCTGCAGGGCCTGCGCGGTGCGCCCGGCCAGGTCGGAGTGCTCCCTGCAGGCCTGACTCGTGTCCTGCGCGCCTGCCCAGGCTCGTGGCCGAGTTCGACTTCCGGACCTTTGACCCCGAGGGCATCCTCTTCTTCGCCGGCGGCCACCGGGACAGCACCTGGATCGTGCTGGCCCTGCGGGCTGGCCGGCTGGAGCTGCAGCTGCTCTTCAACGGCGTGGGTCGCGTCACCAGCAGTGGGCCGGTCATCAACCACGGCATGTGGCAGACAGTGAGTGTGGCGCCGCCCCTTCTGCTGCTGGGTCTCCCTGAGCCCGACCCATCTTGGGCTAACAGCAGTTAGCAGGTGCGACTCTGGGGCCCACCGGCCACACACAGACAGGACAGGGACCTGCCCCTTTCGGGTCACGCTTGGGGGCTCCGTGTGACCTTTGGGGTCCTTACCACTTCCTTCCTCATCTGACATGACTCCCTCAGAAAAGGGCCTCGAGCGAGAGCTGTGATTCTCTGTCCTGGCTGACGCTTGGCTCTGTCTGGAGACAGTTATGTTTGTCACAGCCAGGGCAGAGATAAAGGCCGGGGCAGATAGACCCCCCAGCACTGCACAGGGCACCCCACCAGAGGATGGCCCAGTGGAAACTGTCCATAAAGTCTGGACTACAGGTAGCAGGGCTCTAGGCCACACGTGTCTCCCGGCGTGGCCTGCCCTGGTGCCATGAGCTCACCTTCCCGTGGATGGCACAGTGGACATCACCGTGCCCGGGCCCTGTATCCCATGCCACGTGGTCAGTGCGGCCCCTCAGGAGCCCTCTCACGGGGCTGCCTCTTCCCAAGATGTCCTGACCCTGTGGGTGTCCAACAAGTCCCAGTCAGAGCTGCACGTGGGCACACGTGCCCGTCCCTCAGCCCCGCCAACGGGCCCGGGTGGTCTGTGACAACCCAGTCTCCCAGCGACAATGCTCAGGGTCCCCTGGCCAGCAGCACTTTCAGAAGGGAGCCTTGGGCAGAGAAAAGGATCAACACTCTCCGTCCTTCAGATGTGAAGGCAGCGCGGACATTCTCCCTGGCCTCTGCTGTAGAGCAGCGTGGAGGTTGGCTGGGGTTAAAGTCCCGCCAAGTAGTGTCCAGTTCTTTCCTCTGAGCTCTTAAAGCAACAGGCGTCTCCCAGGAGGGATGCTCTCAGCGAAGCTACAGGGAGGAAGCAACGAGGAGGGAGCAGTTTCAGGTGTGGAGCAAGTGAGCTCCACACACGGCCAAGGGCCCAGGGGCTCGGGGCTGATGGGCCGAGGTGAGGCCGCAGGTGGGACTGTTGAGGAGAGGCAGTCGTCCCAGGCACCTCCCAGCTGTCACTGCACTGAAGCCTGACGGACCCTGCAGGAGCAAGGGACCTCCTGAGACCTCACCCCAGTTCACCCTCCCTGGCTACTCCCAAACCCCATCACACCACGCTTTCTGACTCAGTCCAGACCAGGGGCTGAAAATGTGTTTCACGCAGCCAAAAAATAAATGGATATTACTTTGGAAGATTACTAATACTATATATGGGGCACAGTTATAGGCATTAGAAGTTTTCTACGGGGAAGTATTCGATGGCAAGATGGTGCATTCAGGCTCCTTTTACCCAAGGTGAGGGGAAGTGTAGTCTCCTGAGGCTGGTCCTCTTGGCCCAGGCGAGGAGGAGTCTGGTCTCCAAGGTTGGTCCCCCTTGGCCCTGGTGAGGATGCGTATGGTCCCTCTTGGATCAGATGAGGAGGAATCTGATCTCCAAGGTTGGCCCAAGTGAGGATGTGTGTGATATCCTGAGGTGGGTCTGTCTTGGTCCAGGTGAGGATACATGTGGTCTCCTGAGGTTGGTTCCTCTAAGTTCAGGGAAGGTGAGTGTTGCCTCCTGAGGCTGTTTGCTCTTAGTCCAGGTGAGGAGGAGTGTGGTCTCTTGCGGTTGGTACCTCTTGGACCAGGTGAGGATGCGTGTGGTCTTCAGGGTTGGTCCTTCTTGGCCCAGGTGAGGATGCATGTGGTCTCCTGAGGTTGTTTCCACTTGGCCCAAGTGAGGATGCGTGTGGTCTCCTGAGGTTGGTCCCCCTGGATCAGATGAGGAGGATTCTGGTCTCCAAGGTTGGTCCTTCTTGGCCCAGGTGAGGATGCATGTGGTCTCCTGAGGTTAGTCCTTCTTGGTCCAGGTGAGAATGTGTGTGGTCTCCTGAGGGTGGTCCCTGTTGGCCCGATAAGGATGCATGTGGTCTCCAAGGTTGGTACCTCTTGGACCAGGTGAGGACGCGTGTGGTCTCCAAGGTAGGTCCTTCTTGGCCCAGGTGAGGATGCGTGTGGTCTCCTGAGGTTGGTCCCTCCTGGCCAAGGTGAGAATGAGCGTGGTCTCTTGAGATTGGTCTCTCTGGGCCCAGGTGAGGCAAAGCATAATCTCAACGTTGGTCCCTCTTGGCCCAATGAGAAGGAGTCAGATCTCCTGAGGTTGGCTCCTCTTAGTTCAGGGGAGGATGAGTGTTGTCTCCGGAGGTTGGTTGTTCTTAGCCCAGGTAAGGAGGGGTTTGGTCTCCTGAGGTTGGTTCCTCTTAGCCCAAGTGAGCAGAAGTATGATTTCCATGGTGGTCCCTCTTGGCTCAGGTGAGGATAAACGTGATCTCTCGAGGTTGGTCCCTCTTGGCCCAGGTGAGAAGGAGTCTGATCTCCTGAGGTTGGTCCCTCTTAGCCCAGGTGAGGATGTATGTGATCCCTTGAGACTGGTTTCTCTTTGCCCAGGTGAGGAGGAGTGTGGTCTCTTGAGGTTGGTTTCTCTTGGCCTAGGTGAGGATGTGTGTGATCCCCTAAGGTTGGTCCCCCCTTGGACCAGATGAGGAGGAGTCTGGTCTCCAAGGTTGGTCCCTCTTGGCCCAGGTGAGGATGCATGTGGCCTCCTGAGGTTAGTCCTTCTTGGTCCAGGTGAGGAAAAGCATCTTGGCTCATTTGAGAAGGAGTCTGATCTTCTGAGGTCGGTTCCTCTAAGTTCAGGGGAAGACGAGTGTTGTCTCCTGAGGTTGGTTGCTCTTAGCCCAGGTGAGGAGGAGTGTGGTCTCCTGATATTGGTCCCTCTTGGCCAGGTGAGGAGGAATGTGGTCTCCTGAGGTTGGTCTCTGTTGGCCCAGGTGAGAATGCGTGTGATCTCCTGAGGTTGGTCCCTCTTGGCCCAGGTGAGAAGGGATCTGGTCTCCTGAGGTTGGTTCCTCTTAGCCCAGGTGAGGAGGAGTGTGGTCTCCTGAGGTTGGGCCCTCTTAGCCCAGGGGAGGATGTGTGTGGTCTCCAGAGGTTGGTCCATCTTGGGCCAGGTAAATAACCAGCTGGTGTCTCTGAAGTTGACCCTTCTTGCCCCAGGTGAAGACTAGCTGGTGTCCCTGATGTTGATACTTATTGACCCAGGTGAGGATGCATATGGTCTCCAAGGTTAGTCCCTCTTGGACCAGGTGAGAATGTATGTGGTCCCTGAGGTTGGTCCGTCTTAACTCAGGTGAGCAGAAGTATGATTTCTATGTTGGTCCCTCTTGGCCCAGGTGAAGATGCATATGATCTCCTGAGGTTGGTCCCTCTTGACCAGAAGAGGATGGGTGTGATCTCCTGAGGTTGGTCAATTTTGGGGCAGGTAAATACTAGCTGGTGTCTCTGAAGTTGGCCTTTCTTGCCCCAGGTGAGGACCAGCTGGTGTCCCTGGCGTTGGTACCTCTTGACCCAAGAGAGGATGCATGTGGTCTCCAAGGTTGGTCGCTCTTGGCTTTGGTGAGGAGGAGCATGGTCTCCAAGGTTGGTCATTCTTGTCCAAGGTGAGGATGCGTGTGGTCCCTGAGGTTGGTCCCTATTGGCCCAGGTGAGGAGTGTGATTTCCAGAGGTTCATCCCTCTTGGCCCAAGTGAGGAGGAGTGTGGTCTCCAAAGTTGGTTCCTCTTGGCCCAGCTGCGGATGAGCATGGTCTTCTGAGGTTGCTCCCTCTTGGACGAGGTGAGGAGGAGAATGGTATCCAAGGCTGGTCCCTCTTGGCCAAGGTGAGGATGAGCATGGTCTCCTGAGGTTGGTTCCTCTTAGTTCAGGGGAAGATGAGTGTTGTCTCTGGAGGTTGGTTGCTCTTAGCCCAGGTAAGGAGGAGTTTGGTCTCCTGAGGTTGGTCTCTCTTAGCCCAGGTGAGCAGACGTATGATTTCCATGGTGGTCCCTCTTGGCCCAGGTGAGGAGGAGTGTGGTTTCCAAAGTTGGTCCCTCTTGGCCCAGATGAGGATGCATGTGGTCTCCTGTGGTTGGTCCATCTTGGGCCTGGTGAATACCAGCTGGTGTCCCTGAAGTTGGCCCTTCTTGCCCCAGGTGAAGACCAGCTGATGTTCCTGATGTTGGTACCTCTTGACCCAGGTGAGGATGTGTGTGGTCTCCAAGGTTGGTGCCGTTTAGACCAGGTGAGGATGGATGTGGTCTCCTGAGGTTGGTCCCTCTTGGCCCTGGTAAGAAGGATTATGGTCTCCATGGTTGCTCCCTCTTGGCTCACGTGAGGAGGAGCATGGTCTCCAAGGCTGGTCATTCTTGTCTAACCTGGAGTTGGTTCCTCTTGGCCCAGGTGAGGAGGAGTGTGGTCTCCAAAGTTGGTCTCTCTTGGCCCGGGTGAGATGTAGTCTGGTCTCCTGAAGTTTGTCCCTCTTAGTCCAGGTGAGGATGAGTGTGGTCTCCTGAGGTTAGTCCCTCTTGGTCCAGGTGAGGAGGAGTATAGTCTCTAAGGTTGGTCATTCTTGGCCAAGGTGAGGATGTGTGTGGCCTCCCAAGGTTGATCCCTCTTGGACCAGGTGAGGAGGAGCATGGTATCCAAGGTTGGTCCCTCTTGGCCCAGGTTAAGAGGAGTGTGGTCCCTTGAGGTTGGTCCCTCTTGGGCAAGTTGAAGACCAGCTGGTGTCCCTGAAGTTGGCTCCTCTTGGCCCAGGTGAGGCCAGCTGGTGTCCCTGAGGTTGGTCCCTCTTGGCGCAGATGAGGATGTGTGTGGTCTCCAAGGTTGGTCCTGCTTGGCCCAGGTGAGGATGCGTGTGGTCTCCAAGTTGGTACTTCTTGGACTAGGTGAACATGCATATGGTCTTCAAGACTGGCCTCTCTTGGCCCAGGTGAGGAGGAGTGTGGTCTCCAAGGTTGGTCCCTCTTGGCCAAGGTGAGGATGAGCGTGGTCTCTTGAGGTTGGTACCTTTTGGCCCAGGTGAGGAGTCTGATCTCCTGAGGTTAGTTCCTCTTAGTTCAGGGGAGGATGAGTGTTGTCTCCTGAGATTGGTTGTTCTTAGCCCAGGTGAGGAGGACTGTGGTCTCCTGAGGTTGGTTCCTCTTGGCCCAGGTGAGCAGAATATGATTTCTGTGTTTGTCCCTCTTGGCCCAGGTGAGGAAGAACGTGGTCTCCTGAGGTTGGTCCCCCTTAGCCCAGGTGAGGATGCGTGTGGTCTCCTGAGGTGGTCCCTTTTGGCCCAGGTAAGAAGGAGTGTGGTCTCCAGGTTGGTCCCTCCTGGCTCAGGTGAGGAGGAGCATGGTCTCCAAGGTTGGTTGTTCTTGTCCAAGGTGAGGATGCATGTGGATGCATGTACCTCTTGGCACAAGTGAGGAGGAGTGTGGTATCTAAGGTTGGTTCCTCTTGGCCCAAGTGAGGAGTATGGTCTCCTGAGGTTGGTCTCTCTTTGCCCAGGTGAGGAGGAGATGGTCTCCAAAGTTGGTCCCTCTTTGCCCAGGTGAGAATGCATGTGGTCTCTTGAGGCTGGTTTCTCTTGGCCCAGGTGAGGAGGAGTATGATCTCCACAGTTGGTCCCTCTTGGCTCAGGATGTGTCTCCTGAGGTTGGTCCCTCTTGGCCCAGGTGAGGAGGAATGTGCTCTCCAAAGCTGGTCCCTCTTAGCCCAGGTGATGATGAGCGTGGTCTCTTGCGGTTGGTCCCTCGTGGCCCAGGTGAGGATGCATGTGGTCTCCTGAGGTTGGTCCCTCTTGACCAGGTGAGGATGCGTATGGTCTCTGAGGTTAGTCTTTCTTGGCCAAGGTGAGGATGCCTGTGGTCTCCTGAGGTTGGTCCCTCTTGGCCCAGGTGAGGAGGAGCGTGGTCTCCTGAGGTTGGTCATTTTTGGCTCAGGTGAGGATTCATGTGGTCTTCTGAGGTTGACCCCTCTTGGACCAGGTGAGGATGCGTGTGGTCTCCTGAAGTTGGTCCCTCTTAACCAGGTGAGGATGCGTATTGTCTCCTGAGGTTGTTCCCTCTTGGACCTGGTAAAGACCAGCTGGTGTCCCTGAAGTTGGCTCCTCTTGGACCAGCTGGTATTCCTGAGACCAGCTGGTATTCCTGAGGTTGGTCCCTTTTGACCCAGGTTAGGATGCATGTGGTCTCCAAGTCTGGTCCCTCTTGGACCTGGTGAGGATGCGTGTGGTCTCCTAAGGTTGGTCCCTCTTGAACCAGGTAAGGAGGAGTATGGTCCCCAAGGTTAGTCATTCTTGGCTTAGGTGAGGATTCATATGATCTTCTGAGGTTGACCCTTTTTGGACCAGGTGAGGATGCGTGTGGTCTCCTGAAGTTGGTCCCTCTTAACCAGGTGAGGATGCGTATGGTCTCCTGAGGTTGTTCCCTCTTGGGCCTGGTAAAGACCAGCTGGTGTCCCTGAAGTTGGCCTTTCTTGGACCAGGTGAGACCAGCTGGCATTCCTGAGGTTGGTCCCTTTTGACCCAGGTTAGGATGCATGTGGTCTCCAAGTCTGGTCCCTCTTGGACCTGGTGAGGATGCGTGTGGTCTCCTAAGGTTGGTCCCTCTTGGACCAGGTAAGGAGGAGTATGGTCTCCAAGGTTGGTCATTCTTGGCTCAGGTGAGGATTCCATGTGGTCTTCTGAGGTTGACCCTTCTTGGACCAGGTGAGGATGCATGTGGTCTCCTGAGGTTGGTCCCCTTTGGCCTGGTGAGGATACGTGTGGTCTCCAAGGTTGGTACCTCTTAGACCAGGTGAGGATGCGTGTGGTCTCCAAGGTAGGTCCTTCTTGGCCCAGGTGAGGATGCGTGTGGTCTCCTGAGGTTGGTCCCTCCTGGCCAAGGTGAGAATGAGCGTGGTCTCTTGAGGTTGGTCATTTTTGGCTCAGGTGAGGATTCATGTGGTCTTCTGAGGTTGACCCTTCTTGGACCAGGTGAGGATGCATGTGGTCTTCAAGGTTGGTACCTCTTGGACCAGGTGAGGACGCGTGTGGTCTCCAAGGTAGGTCCTTCTTGGCCCAGGTGAGGATGCGTGTGGTCTCCTGAGGTTGGTCCTCTTGGCCCAGGTGAGGAGGAGTGTGGTCTCCTGAGGTTGGTCATTTTTACCTCAGGTGAGGACTCATGTGGTCTCCTGAGGTTGGTCCCTCTTGGCCCAGGTGAGGATGCGTGTGGTCTCCTATAGTTGGTCCCTCTTGGGCCAGGTGAAGTCCAGCTGGTGTCCCTGGTGCTGGCCCCTCATGACCCAGGTAAGGACTAGCTGGTATCACTGAGGTTGGTCCCTCTGCCCAGGTGAGGATGCATGTTGTCTCCTGAGGTTGGTCTCTCTTGGACCAGGTAAGAAGGAGCATGGTCTCCAAGGTTGGTCATTCTTGGCCAAGGTGAGGATGCATATGGTTGCCTGAGGTTGGTTCCTGTTAGGAGGAGTGTGGTCTCCTGTGGCTGGTTTCTCTTGGCCCAGGAGAGGAGTGTGGTCTCCTGAGGTTGGTCCTCCTGGCCCAGGTGAGGATGCGTGTGGCTTCCTGAGGTTGGTTCCTCTTAGCCCAGATGAGGAGGAGTCTGGTCTCCAAAGTTGGTCCTTCTTGACCCAGGTGAGGAGGAGTGTGGTCTCCAAAGTTGGTCCCTCTTGGCCCAGGTGAGGCTGAGTGTGGTCTCCTGAAGTTGGTCCCTCTTAGCCCAGGTGAGGAGGAGTGTGGTCTCCTGAGATTGGCCCCCCTTTGGCCAGGTGAAGACCAGCTGGTGTCCTTGAATTTGGCCCCTGTTGGCAAAAGTAAGGACCAGCTGGTGTCCCTGAGGTTGGTCCCTCTTGACCCAGGTGAGGAAGCGTGTGGTCTCCTAAGGTTGGTCCCTCTTGGATTAGGTAAGAAGGTGTGTGGTCTCCAAGGTTGGTCTCTCTTGGCTCAGGTGAGGAGGAACATGGTCTCCAAGGCTGGTCGTTCTTGTCCAAGGTGAGGATATATGTGGTCCCCTGAGGTTGGTCCCTCTTGGCCCAGGTGAGGAGGAATGTGGTCTCCTGAGGCTGGTCCCTCTTGGCCCCGGTGAGGAGAAGCGTGATCTCCATATTGGTCTCTCTTGGCCCGATGAGAAGGAGTCTGGTCTCCTGAGGGTGGTCCCTCTTAGCCCATGTGGGGAGGTGTGTGGTCTCCTGAGCTTGAGTCCCCTTGGCCCAGGTGAGGACCAGTTGGTGTTCCTGAGGTTGACCTCTCTTGGCCCAGGTGAGGATGTTGTAGTCTCCACGGTTGGTCCCTCTTAGCCCAGGTGAGGATACATGTGGTCTCCTGAGGTTGGTCCCTCTTGGTCCAGGTGAGGATGCGTGTGGTCTTCTGAGGTTGGTCCCTCTTGGCCCTGTTGAGGGTGAGTATTGTCATCTGTGGCTGGTTTCTCTTGGCCTTGGTGAGGAGGACTGTGGTTTCCAAGGTGGGTTTTCTCGGCCGAGGTGTGGATGCCTGTAGTCTCTTAAGGTTGGTCCCCCTGGGATCAGGTGAGGATGCATGTGGTGTCCTGAGGTTGATCCCTCTTGGCCCAGGAGAAGACGTGTTTGGTCTCCTGGGGTTGGGCCCCCTAGGCCCAGGTGAGGATGCGTGTGGTTCTGAGGTTGGTCCTCTTGGCCCAGGTGAGGACCAGCGGGCATCATTGAGGTCAGTCCTCCTCCAGAAGGTGCCCCATCCCATGTTGTCATAGCGCTACCTTTCCTCAGGTCTCTGTGGAGGAGCTGGAGCGAAATCTTGTCGTCAAGGTCAACAAGGATGCCGTCATGAAGATCGCTGTGCCCGGGGACCTGTTTCAGCTGGACCGAGGACTGTACCATCTGAACCTCACTGTGGGTGGCATTCCCTTTAAGGAGAAGGACCTAGTGCAGCCTGTAAGTGCCTCACCTATCCATCACAGGCAGGGAGTGTGCGTGCCAGGGTCAGGGTCGGGGTCGGGGTCGGGAAGGCTGGGCCGTGAGAGCCCCAGGCTCTGCATTGAGCGAGTGGCAGAGGATTAGAGGATGCAAAAGCTTCTGCAGTTTGATGAACAGCAAGTCCAGCTGTCCCATCTCACTGTCTGTCTTTATGAGACTCATGCAAGCTTTCTCTGACTTGATAATAAACATGTGTATCTTGCAGTGGAGACAGGACCCCATGAAATTATTCTTTAACAGAAAGAAGTCAGAATTTTCTGCCAGTTTCCAGGAAGGTCTTGGGTTGTGAATCCTGTCCTGACCCCCACAGGGGAGAAACGACCGTGACGGGCGGTCAGCGTGGGCCACTCCAGCCTCCTTCTGCCCCTTGTCTGCACCAGAGGCCTTGCCCTTCCCCGCGTCCCTCCATGCTCCTGCGTGCCGAGGTCAGAGGCCAGGAGTCTTGGGACTGGGATGGTGCTTTTCATCTTTGGCACTGAATGACTGGTGGTGTCAGCACAGCCTCTGGAGGATTGGGAGAGAGACATCCTGGCCTCAGCCCCACCCCAGACCGGGCTCCAGGCTGCAGCCCCAAGCACGGGTCTCACCTCCTTGCTCTGCAGGCACAGGGAGTGACCCGGTGACTCATGGCCATGTGGAGTAGTGGATCACACTCCTGAGTGCCAGGTGGTTAAACCACCTTGCTGTTTGACCGTGGACCCACATGACTTTTCCAGTCTTTGTCCTCAGACGGTTTTTAGACCAACCTTTGTTTCCTGAGCACACACCAGCTGGCGCCCCTGCATGGATGTCGCTATTCTGCAGTGCGTCCCCTGCGTGGATGTAGCTCTTTTGTGCTAGGTCCGCCTGTGTGGTGGTGGCTGTTCTGGGCTGGGCCCCCTGCACGGCCATAGCTGTCCCGTGCCGAGGCCCCTGTGGGGACATGCTGTTCCGTGCCGGTTCCCTTTGCACGGTGAAGAGCCTTTTTGTGAATTCACTGCAAAGAGAATCCTCCACTCTAGTGTTCGATTTTTTGCAGCCTGGGCCAGGGGATGCCCGCCTGCCGACAGGAGGCATCTGGCAGGGGCCTCCCCACAGGGCCTGGAGTCAGGGCCTCTGCACCTGGGACGCCACGGCTGGCTCTGTCATTCCAGATAAACCCGCGTCTGGACGGCTGCATGAGGAGCTGGAACTGGCTGAACGGGGAGGACACCACCATCCAGGAGACCGTGAAGGCCAACGCCAAGATGCAGTGCTTCTCGCTGACGGAGAAGGGGTCCTTTTTCCCCGGAAGTGGCTTTGCCTTCTACAGCCTGGGCTATGGTGAGTCTGGCTTTTCCTGGCGGGACTGCGGCGGGTGCGCCTTCAGCGGACAGACAGACCCTGGAGGCGCCTCCCTCCCGGGACTGCAGTGCCAGGGTATGGCTCATGCTTGGCTCCGGCTCCGGGCAGGGCCCAGCGAAGTCAGGCGGAAGCCTCCCGACAGTGGCCACTGCAGCCAGTGAGGAGAAATGACAGAGGCACGCAGGCGCCCACCAGACTGGAGAAGTCTTAGAGGGCCCTTTCGGAGGCTGGTGGGACGGGAGGTCTAAGAAGGTCCTTTGTGAGGCCAGCCAGGCTGGGGAGGCTGGGGCGACGGGAGGCCTGAGAGGTCCTGTGAAGCGGCACAGCCTTGGGACCTGGCCACTTGCACGAAGAAGCTCTCGGGAAGACGGTCCTCGCAGTCACCAGTGACTCAGTGGGGAAAGGAGGGGGAAGCCCTGCAACAGCAGTGACCGCCTGGGGCGCCGCGACTCGGTTGACAAGGAGAAGACCCCGAGAGGACGGGCCGTCCAGGGGAATGTGCTGCCCTGCCCTGCTTGCTCCCCAGAAGGTCCTCAGAAGACCCAGCGCTCCACCCCAGTGCTCAGAGCAAAGCCCACCCCCCCGAGGAGAGGGAGAGGACCGGACTGGCTGGTGCTGACGTGGCACCACCGAGGCGGGAGGAAGGCCGGCCGTGGTCTGCCCTGGACACTGCTGCGCTGCGGGCAGGGCCTTGGCGAGGGGCCGAGGGCCGGATGCGGGTGCCGGGCCCTCGTGCCACAGCTGATGGCGCCGACGTTGTGCCAGGCAGGTGGCTGGGGCAGCTGTGGCGGGAGGAGCCGGCGGCCAGGCCCAGAGGCTGACACACGCGGCACAGCTGCGTCTCCACGGAAGAAAGTCAGGGGGTTTTCGGCAAGGCAAGCGGTCCCTGGACGGGGAACGCACCCAGGACAGTCAAGGCTGCCGGCCCCGGGGAGCGGGTGGCTGTCAGGAGGGAAGCCGGCAGCCTGCCAAGAGACACCTGTGCCGGTGGTTTGACAACTCGTTGACCTTGGACACACGTGGTCTTCCAGCCGTTTCCTCACATGGCATCAGAATCAGTCTCGACTCCACTCCTCACGTGGTCCTCACCTTCGTGTCTGGGTCCACGTGGGTCCATGGCTTTGGGGTCATACCTCTCAGGGGAGCCATGATCCTGGCCTGGGAAGCAGCACTTACAGGATTTTGCAAACAGGATGCCTAGAGCCCATCCTGAAGCCCAGCTCCAGGCCCTCATCTGCCCAGCAACTCTGGGGGCAACTTTTGCTGCTCTCGAGCCTTCGGACCGACACCCAGTCCGGGTGGGGTCTGTGGCACCACCGCCCTCCCCTGCCCAGGCTTCCGGGTGGCTGCGGTGGCCGTGCTCCTGGCTCTGACCCCGCCGCACTCCAGGCCCACAGAGCACCCCAGCCCCTGGTTCCTGAGCTCCGAGCCTTTTATGCTCAAGCACCCTGATGGTCCCCAGGGTGGCAGCACCCCCACAGACCTCTTGGGCCACAGGCCCTCCACACCCAGGAGTTCCTCCGTGTCCCAGGAGGCCCACCTGGGCAAGGCGGCTGGCTCTGTGTCTCTGTCCTGAGCCAGAGCTCGGTCACCTTTCCCCCGTAACTGTAAAAAGCAACCGTGGCTGTAAGGGAGTTTTTAAGAAGAGAACCACCACCCTCTGTCACACCAGCTCTCGTGCCACACACATTCTGCCTCCTGTCTTTATTTTTTTGCGTACAAATCTTGAACATCGTTATGATATTGACACAAACTCACGTAGTGTGAAACGCACTCAGTATTGCACACATTTCTCGTGCAGCAAAGGCATCACAGGGATAATTTCCAGTGACTGTTCACTACTGTTCCCGCTGCCATGTCTGACCCGTGAGCTCTGACATGGCATGTAGAGCACCACACATTTCTCATGAGCCTTGAACTAGACACTGTCATCTTTTACGAGACTTGAGGCGCCAAAGGACACTGAAGTCCTGCACTTGCTCACACCACGGCATGTCGGGGCACACGTGGGCTCACCCAACCCAGGCCCGAGGAGCCACATGTGAAGGGCGCATGAGGATTGTCTGCTCTGTGTACGGGTGCATCTAAAGGGAGCCGTGTGTGGGCGTCCCCCATGCCTCTGCTCCGGGCAGTGTCGAGCCAAAGGATTCTGTCACCTCCAGCTCCTGGTCTGCTGGTTCATGAAACCAGGCACTGGGCTGTGCACGGCTGCCCCAGCCTCTGCCCAGGGAAGTGGAGCCACCACCCGGGGCCCCACGCCAGCCTCACCGTGGCCTTTCTGCCATCTGTAGCGCCTGGTAATGTGCTGCTTTCATCGCAGTGCGGACCTCGCTGGACGTGGGGACCGAGACGACCTGGGAAATAGAAGTCGAGGCTCGCATCCGCCCGGCCGCAGACACGGGGGTGCTGCTGGCACTCTGGGCGCCCGACCACCGTGCCGTGCCCCTTTCCGTGGCTCTGGTCGACTACCACTCCACCAAGAAGCTCAAGAAGCAGGTACCGGGCCCCTCCACCCCTCAGCCTGCACAGGCCGCGGGCCGTCCTCCCCTGGGTCCACCCGGCCTCCTGTCCCTCCCTCTGGTGGGTTAACCTCAGCCTGGAAGACCTCTGACCAGAAGCCTGGTAAACGAGCTGGGTGCAGCACCATCGGGCTGTGGGGTGACCGGAGATGTGAGATCTCCCTGACACCATGAGGGGCAGGCACCGCAGAGTCTGAATCCAATGTCCCCCGTGAGCCACCACATGGGATTTCCCTGCCTGGCTGGGTGACGGCGGCTCAGAGCGTGTGGGTTCGTCGGGTGATTTCACGGCCAACTCCGTTTCCCAGCTTCCCTCCAAAGTCAGCTCTGCGACCCTGGCCGGCGCCCCCAGACGCACTTTTCCCGGGGGTTCCCTGCGTGTAGCTGCCCCTGGGGTGCAGTCCCCACCACTCGCAACTGTCCCTGCACCAAGCCAGCCATTGTGAGCCCCTGGGCTTGGGCTGTTTTTCTCACATGACGTTGCAGAGGTGAAGGGAACAGGTTCTGTCCTCTGGCCTCCGTGCAAAGAGGACGTGGGTCAGACCTGGGCTTGGTGTTCCTGGGGTCTGTCTGCTCCGGGCTACCAGTCGCTTGGACTTGACAGTGACAGGCCTGGTTTGTGCAGGGGGCCTCCCAAGGGGGCTGAGGGTCCGCACCCTGCCGCGCTCGGGCCCAGCCTCTGGGATAAGCAGCTCTGGGGTCTCACGGGGCACGCCTGAGTGCCAGGCTGGAGAGTGGACGGCGAGGCTGTGGGGAGCCCATGGGGCCGGCAGGTGTGCCTCATGGCCGTGGCCTGGGTCCCCATGGGGGACTCAGCGGAGCCCCTGGTCAAGCCCAGCCCAGGCCCTGAGGGTGGGGCCCGACCCACCCACGCGGGCTGAGGGACAGGGCTGTCCTTCCCCACCGGCTGCACGGGCGCAAAAAGTGCCTGGTGCGGGCAGGTCCTCCGAAGTCCGCAGGCGGCAGAACTGGGGCTCCCAGGCCCGTCACGCCCAGGGCTTCAGGGACCCCCCGCCAAAACGGGTGCACGTTGTGGGGCAGCCACGTGCCAGGAGGACCGGTGGGCACGGAAATGCGCGGCAGCCGCCTGACCGAGAGTGGGGCCGCTGCAGCTGGTGGTCCTGGCGGTCGAGAGCGTGGCCCTGGCCCTGATGGAGATCAAGGTCTGTGACGGTCAAGAGCACGTGGTCTCCGTGTCCGTGAGGGAGGACGAGGCCACCCTGGAGGTAGACGGCACCAAGGGCCAGAGCGAAGTGAGTGCCGCCCAGCTGCAGGAGAGGCTGGCCGCGCTCGGGCGGCACCTGCGGGATCCCGTGCTCACCTTCATCGGGGGCCTGCCAGGTAGGCCCGCCGCTCAGAGACGCCGACAAGGCGCGCGGCGTTTCTGAGGGACTCGGGAGGGCTCTCGTCTGAGGAGTGGGAGGTACGGCCGGGTGAGCAGGCCGTGGTGGGGTTCGGGGCGCGTCAGGGTCCCGGCTGAGCCAGGAGCCCTCGGTGGGCGGCGCTGACCGGTCGCCATGTGCCCAGCAGCCTCCGTCAGGGATGGGCATCCCACCAACCCGGCTGCCAGAGGCCTCCTGCCCGTTGGCCACACGAGGGGTGGCGGGATTGGGTACAGAATCACGCCCTTGTGGAGGGGGCAGGGCCACGGGCGGGGAGGGCAGGCCACCGCCAGGACCTGCGCAGACGACGTCTCTTCTCTCCCCGTGGCCCAGAGGTGCCAGTGACCTCAGCGCCCGTGACGGCATTCTACCGCGGCTGCATGACGCTGGAGGTCAACCGCAGGCCGCTGGACCTGGACGAGGCCTCCTACAAGCACAGTGACATCACCGCCCACTCCTGCCCCCCGGTGGAGCCTGCCGCGCCCTAGCGCTCCAGCGCCCGGACACAGGCCTCTCCCCACACACCGCAGGACGGGCCTGCCGGGCGTGGCCATCCTCAGCAGAGCCGTCTCCGGGCCCTCTGCCTGTGACATGTGTAAATAGCGAGGGACTGGTGTGGCCGCGGGCCGGGGCGGGGCCGGACGCCGCACAGCAGACCCGAGGAAAATAATTCTCCATTATTTTTATTACCGGCGCTTTTTCTGACTCTAAAATATGGAAAATAAATATTTACGGAGAGCTTTTTAACACCACGTTGCTGCTGTCTGCTCCCCGGGTTTCTAGCCGCTGCTGGGGTGATGGGCCCGGAGGACTCCCGCCAAGTCCATCCTGTCCTGCGCCGGCCGCCTTCCTGCGGCCTGAACCCTGGCCCGTGGGGCCGGTGGCTTCTCCCTGGAGCCCCTGACTCCCCTGGTGGCGGAGGGCCCAACCCGTGGCCCAGGCTCCCAGCTGCCATGGGCCTCAGGTGACTCGTCTGTGATGGAGACGGCCCTGCCTGACGCCTGCCAGCAGCAGCCAGGCCCTGTGGAAGCTGCCCTGCCAAGGGTCGCAGCAGGCAGGCCTGGGCCTGGGAGCCCCTGGGAGCCCCTGACAGAGGGAGGAAGCAGCAGGTGGGGTGGGCACCGGCACCTGACACCCTGACACCCTCCTTTCTCCCTGGGCAAACTCATTCACTCGGGGCCCCACGGGCCGTTTCGGCGGGCAAATCCCATTTTCCACGTTCTCCAATTCGTGAGCTCCTCCCTGCTGTGGAACACACTGGAAGCAGGAGAACGGCCCACTGGCAAGCTGCTCTCGTGTCTGAGCTTGTCTTCTTGTTGGGGGGCAGAGGGCTGGGAGCGGTCACTGTTGCACGAGGCCCCAGGAGAGGTCAGGGCAGCCCCCATGGAGCTGGCCCCCAGGACGCACGTGGGCCCCGACCTTCCCACACCCTGGGAGCGTGGCAGGGCCCGCGCTGCTTTCCCTCAGTCCCAGGGGAAGGCCAGGGTGCACGGCCTGGACCGGGCCCTGGGTGGGTGCGTGCTGGCGATGGGTGCTGCCGTGGCGGGCCCCAAACAGGCCCAGAGGAGGTCCCGGCATCCGGGGTCCGGCCTGAGCTGCTGTTCGCACAGCAGGCCCCACGCCGCACTCGGGCGGCCGGGCAGGCTGGGCCCCGTGGGCTTTGCTGTGCAGGGGCGGCACAGTACATCTGCCTCCCGCACGGTTCTCCCAGAGCCCGCCCAGCAGGGTGGAACTGCCGGGCATCTGTGCCTCCTGCTGTTGGACCGAGTCTTCGGATCACAGCTTGACCAGGGCAGGGTGGAGCCCACAGCTTGGAGCCACGGGAGCCCGCCGTCAGGGTCCTCAGCTCCCGACCCAGCACGGGGTGTGAAGCCAGCCACAGCCGCCACTCACAGGGAGAAACACCCTCTCGATTTCCAGAGAAGAGGAGTCTTGGGCTCCCCAAAAGGACTCTGTCTGGACGCATGAGGTGGAAGGGCCCCAGGTGGGTCCCTGACGGGGCACCCTGCAGCTGGCAGGAGTTAGCCTCCCTGTCGCCCAGCCCTGGCCTGCGTGGAGTGGCCGCAGCCCGGCAGGACTCAGAGCAGGCCATCCTCACGCCCACCAGAAGGGACCCTGCCCCCGGGCCACACTCGCACATGGCGAGGGGCAGGTGCCTTGTCCATGGCCCAGGTGGGAGTGCGGGGCTTCCGCCCCTGGGCCGCGTGGGCACGACCCCTGCTGTCCACACTGGCCTCTGCAGGCCTTGGTCACCGAGGGTCCTTGCAGACCCACCCTGTGTCCGGGACCCTGATGACCGGAGACCAGAGCTTGGCTCCTTGGTGCAGGACGCTGCTGGCTGGCAGTGGAGAGGTGGTTCTTTCTAAAGTGTTGGCCACCCCGGGGTGGGTGGCTGCTGACAAGACCTCAGAGACCTCACCCACGAGGCTCCGCGGGAGCGTCCCGCACGGCGCCATCAGCAATGCGCACGGGGATGTCTAGGAAGGCCTCGTGCCTGGCCCGATGCCTGGAGCCGACGAAGCCCGGCCGCCCGGCACCCGGAGCCCCTGCGCCACCCGCCACCCGGCCCTCTGTGGCCTCGGCTGAAGCCGTGGGGGAGTCCAACTCTCAACCCTGGCGCCGCAACACCCCGTGGGTCCCTTGGGAGGCCGCTCCGGAATGCGCTCTTGGAATGTGCCCGGGAAGCTGGGAGCCTGCCCGCGGCCAGCCCCAACCCTCCGGAGAGGGTCAGGAAGACCAAGAGCAGACAGGAGGGGCCGGCGCTGGGGAGGGAGCCTGCGGGGGCCCCAGACACGCGCCCAGGGACCAGAGGCGCAGCACTCGCCCTTCCCGCCCTAGGTCTCCGCTCTGCCCGGGGGCGGGGAGGGCAACGCTGTTTCCTGGTATTGTTTCCTTCGTGGACCGGGGCGCCACCATGGCTCTCACTGGGGCCCCAAACAGGCCACACGGGCCGGCGCCGGGGCTGCGACACAGGAGACAGCCAGGCCCGACGCCCTGGCTGGAGGACATGCTCTAAGGCCAGGCCGGGGTGGTGGGAAGTGGAGGCACTCAGGGCTGGTGACGGTGGTGGAGAGGACAAGGGAAGAGCCTGACGTGGCGAGGAGGGGGAGGGCTGGCCCCGTGGTTGGAGGTAGGGAGGGACGATCAGCCCCAGGATGAGGAGGAGGAGGGATGCCCTTGACTATGGTGAGAAGGAGAGGGGGTGGCCCTGGCTGTGGGGAGGAGGAGGAGGGGTGGCCTGGCTGTGGATGAAGAGAAGGGATGACTCTGTGAGGAGGAGGAGGGTGACCCTGACTCCAGGCTGCAGATGGGAGCCCGGAGAGGCTTTGTTCTGGACACCTGCATGGTCTGAGTTGCTGCCGGGTGTCTTTTTAAGGTGCAGCCAGGAGAGTCTGGGTGTTTCTGCTCAAGGAGACTTGGAGGACGGTGTGGGGGCCGCCTGTGGTGTGTGGCCGCCTCGCATCTAGCCCCCACCAGTAGATGCCGCCCGCCCTTTCCGGACACACGCGCTTCGGACCTGAGCGTGTCTGCCCGCCTTGGCAGGTGCCCCGGACCTGATTGCCTCTGAGGAAACTGCCGCTTTCAGGAAAAGGGACATTCGTCTCACCTCACCTCATAGACTGCATGCAGTATTTATAGTCTGAAAAAGTTAGAAGCGTTTGTAGTGAATGTGCAACGAGGCAGGCTGTGGCCCGCAGCCCCTGGTCCACTGTTTGAGAATAAAGCTTTATGGGCACCGGGCCGTGCCTGTTCGTCACTGTTGTCTGTGCTGCCTTTCCGGCTGGGCCAATCCTCGGACTCTCCAAGCCCAGCGCTTTCGCTCAGGCCCTGCGCCGAAGGCCGCTGGCCCCTGTGGTGGGAGAGCCTCTTCGTGGCCCCGGGAGGGAGTGGCATCTTTCACAAGACACAGAGTCCCCAAGACAAAGGGCGACATGTTGCCGCCAGGCTCCTTTAAGCCCAGGAAGTTCCATTCGTCGGAGTCACCCCAGAGGGTGAGGGTCAAGCCCTGACAGAAGGAGCCGTCGGGGCACAGCAGGTGACCAGGAGGGTGGCGAATTCCCAAATTATCGGGAAAGTAACCGGAAAAAGGCAGGAACCCAAGCGGGCTGGGGCAGAGGGCTGAGGGCCAGGAGGGAGCGGAGGATCACAGACACCTGAGAAAGCACAAGAGAGACGAGCCCACGCCCACCAGCATCAGGACCCTCACACCCAAGGAGACCGCTTCTGGGTACGTGAAAGCCGTGGATGGCTCCAGCCTCGCTGGAAAGGCCAAGCCGAGTCAGCTCGTGGGTGCGATGCCACCCATGACAGGAGCTGGCGATGTGCGACACGCACGGATGTGCATCCGTGTCTTCACTGTCGGAGCGGGCCCTGGGCAGCCACGGCCACCTGCCTGTGGGCACAAAAGACTCTCAAGACCCAAAGCCGGAACAGCCCTGCGCTACTGACATCAAGAGCCACCAACCATGACAGTCGCGGACAGGACTGTCCACAGCGGAGGAAGGAGCCACGCTGGATGCCACGGACACGGTGCCCAGGAAGCCACACACAGACCCTTCCATCCACACGAAGCCCAGGGACACAGGCGAAGCCAGAGCAGGAGGAGGAAGCCCGGTGCGGGTTCCAGGGGCCTCCATCCTGGGTGCTCTGACGGGGGCGTGCCATCATTCCTTCATTTAGGCACCTTTTCTGTGTGTGAAATTTCACAGTCAAAAAGCTTTAGACAGGAACGTGAGGTGTGCGCGTAACTTACACAGGGACCCGCGTGTGAGGCCTGGCCCGGACCTCCCTCCACCCACCCCTGGGTCGCACAGCATGGCTCTGTGTACTCGGGCTCTGCAGGTGCTTCTGCAGGTGCTTCTGCTGCAGTCTTGGTGGGTCACCTCCAGCCGGGCTGCGGGTCGGGCAAGGCTGGGCTGGGGCGGGGCGGCAGGCACAGCCGTGTCTGGGACCGAGAACCCACGGGAGCTGCTGTCGCGGAGAGGGCGGTCATTATTCCGAGGGACTGCAAGGGAGTCCTGCCGGGGCCACGTGCATCCTGGGAGCATCTTTGTGGCAGCCTGTAGGGACATTGTGGTCATCACAGCCCACTGTCCCTGAGACGACCCCCGCGGCATCGTCCACCCGGGAGCGGCTGCCCGGTGGTGGTTAGTGACGTCCAGTCGTCGCCTCCACCAGGCTCCAGGATGCTCTCATCTCCCCAGAAGCCCCGTGTCCACGCCTCGCCTCGCCTTGATGACTTCGTCTGTGGCCATCTGCCTCTCTGGAGAGTCTGTGTGCACGGGGCACGCACGTGGCCTTCTGCGTCTCTCGCCTTTCCCGGGTGTCATTTTCAGGCTCATTTCCCGTGGCCTGGCCAGAGCTTCTGTCCTGACTGAGCCACGTCCCACCCTGCGGAGGGCCACATTTTTTCCCATCCACCAGCGGCATTTGCGCCGTTTCCACCTTGGGCTCTCGTGAGCAGAGCCAATCCAATGCAGACGCTGAGGCAGGAGGCCAAGTGTGGGTCCCAAGCTGAGAAGGGGGTCAGGCCCGAGTGCGTCTGCCCAGAGCAGCATCCTGAGCCCTGGACTCCCCGGCACGGCCTGGGCTGCCCTCGCCGCCCACATAAGACACCCGCGTCCACGTCGTCTCGCCCCAGGGAGGCAGGGGGCACGGCGGAAACGGACTCCCACGTCCCATTCCCACACAGCCCCTGCCCTGCGGGATGGAATTGCAGGGGAAGGGGCCCGGGCCCCACGCCTCCCCGTGC